CTCTTAAAACTTAATTAACATTAAGTAAATTTAAAAATTCAGTTTATTTGTATCATTAGCCACATTTGAAATGCTCAATAGCCACTTGTGCTGCCATATTGGACAATGGAGATATAAAATACTTCTATCATCACAGAAAGTTCTGTTGGACAGTACTGATTTAGAGACGACAATTATAAGGAATTATGCCCACTACTCTAATCCATATCCTTGCTTACCTGCTCGGATGAAAACCAAAAAGCCTTTTGCAGAAAGCTAAATATGTACTCTGGCTATTGCGTGGGGGAGGGCAAAAAAGAAGGAAGAGTGAGGTAAGCAATGTTGGACCAGATATTGTTAATAAAACAAAATAAAATAGGGGGCGGCCCAGCGGCGCAAGTGGTTAAGTGCGCGCGCTCCGCTGTGGCGGCCCGGGGTTCGCCGGTTCGGATCCCGGGCGTGCACCAACGCACTGCTTGGCAAGCCATGCTGTGGCGGCGTCCCATATAAAGTGGAGGAAGATAGGCACGGATGTTAGCCCAGGGCCAGTCTTCCTCAGCAAAAAAAGAGGAGGATTGGCAGATGTTAGCACAGGGCTGATCTCCTCACAAAAAAAAAAGTAAAAAATAAATAAATAAAATAAAATAAAACCTGTTTTTTAACTCCATCTCTGAGGACACCTCTTCTGAGCACAAAAGGTTCATCACACACCTGGGTAAAAAGCCCGAAATCGTAATTCCCTGAAATTATGCTTAGTAGACTAGATGAAAAATATTAATGTGGTTCTCTAGGCTAGAAAGCACTCTAGAGAATCTAAAATTATTTAAGGATTGTTAGAAGATAGCTTCAATCTATAACTTTCTGATTAGACTCATTGTAACTCTTAGTATTTTGTTGAACATCAATTACTACTCTAAATGTCTCATCACCTACCTCAAACACCGTTCTACTTCTAAATTTGTTCATCGGTCCTCCTGATCAATACATTTAATCGTTTCACCCAGCAGAGAAATTCAGTAGGCCAAATTTTACTGCAATAATCAATAAGCTATCTTTTATCTCTCTAGCTGGCCAAAATGCAGACTCCTGTTTTCTTGAGGAAAGAATAAGAAAGCTTTTTGTAGGCATGGGGGAGTTCTCTCTCCTGTTTCCAAAATTTGTTCTTACTGCCAGTTCCCCTCATATAGTCTTCCTACTCATATCTGCAGAGCTTAACAGACACACTACCCATCACCAACACACCGAGCAGAGACATATGTCAGTCACGTTGACCCCAACAGATGAACTTAAGGAAAAAGCAGAATGGATTCTGCTTCCCTCAACTGAAAAGTATTCCCAAATAGAAAGGAAGTTAATCTACTGATAGAGTACCGACAAATTAATCTAGTCATAGCTGAAGACAAGCTTCATTATTCTAAGACCCCTATTAATGTACAACATAGATTCCATTATAATAGTTTTTTAAAAGGTTATCTTTTAGCAAACATTTTTCAAGTCATGGTAGATAACTGATTTATTTCAAGTTATCACTGTTAATCCAAATGGCCGCACTATTCAAATCAGACAGTGGAAACTTACTGCAGGAATTTAACTTTAAAAAGGACAAGGAGATTCAACTTTTTGGTCTTTATAGGAGCAAAATTATCCCTTACTTTGCCATAAACAATATTATCACTCAAATAATTCTAGCATAGTTCCTGGAATGGGTGCTCAATTAATGCTAGACTCACTTAACTTTCTAATTCTATTAAGAAATTTAAGTCAAGAAACAATGGTAAAGTTCTTCCATATCTAAATTAAAAATGTACAATTTGCTGTATTATACACTGCTATGGACTGAATGTTTGTGTCCCCCTTCCCCAAATTCATGTGTTGAAGGCCTAATCTCCAACGTGATGATATTTGGAGGTGGGGCCTTTGGGAGGTAATTAGGGCACGAGGGTGGAGTCTTTAGGAATGGGATAGTGCCTTATAACAGAGACACTGAGAAAGATGATCTTTCTCTTCCCCAACTGAAGATACAGCAAGAAGTCAGCTGTCTGCAAACCAGGAAGACAGTCCTCACCAGACATCAAATCTGCTGGCACCTTGATCCTGGACTTCCCAGCCTCCAGAACTATGAGAAATAAATGTCATTTTAGCCACCCAGTCTATGGTATTCTGGTATAGCATCCTGGACTAGGACACAGACACACACACGGACACGGACACACACGCGTGCACGCACACACACCCACACTTCCTTGAGAAATTACAAATGTTAAAAAATATATCTACTGATTTTTCAAACGTTTGTTTTAAAAGTGAAATTCATGTGGCACAAATGTATCAACATACAAAGCAAAATAATGGTACTCTGTACTCATTAAAAAGACTGAAAAAATAAAATTTCCATCTCATTTCACTTACGACTCTTTCAACACATACATTAATAAAAAATCTATAATAAAATAACAAAACTAGGGGCTGGCCCGGTGGCGCAGCGGTTAAGTGCGCACGCTCCACTTCAGCAAGGGTTCGCAGGTTCAGATCCCGGGCACGCACTGTCGGACGCACCGCTTGTCAAGCCATGCTGTGGCGGCATCTCATATAAAGTAGAGGAGGATGGGCATGGATGTTAGCCCAGGGCCAATCTTCCTCAGCAAAAAAGAGGAGGATTGGCATTGGATGTCAACTCAGGGCTGATCTTACCCACACACACATAAAAAACAAAGAAACAAAAATAAGTAAATACATATAGAGAGGAAAAAAGTTATCCAAAGGATGCAAAAGTATCAACTTGCTTATTTGATCTCCTTCTCTCTCTTCTATAGAAATATTTATGCTTTTTAAAGACTCCTTTACAGACATTTTTCTTAGGCCTATGATCCCTTTAACTCCTTAGCAACACAACTTATGTCTTCAGATTGTCCATGTTTCTGTTCACATTTCAACCTTAAGACTTCTCTGCTATGATGTTTAACTAGGACATCTTTAGGCATCTGCAGTTAAGCACTGTATTCACATGTCCTGAAGACCAGCACAGGTGGCAGGATTAGTTTAGTTGGTGGCCACTGAATATTAAGTATATTCACATGTGCAAAACACAGTGATTAAAAAGCCTTAAGAGGTTTTCCAGAATTTAAACATTCCCCTTTCACTCATTTGTAAAAGATAAAAAATATTTTAAAGAACTTGGACTTACCCTCAAATAAACCTTCCAGAACCTCCTACTGAGTCATTTTAGGCTCTCAGTACTGAAGGTGAGCCTTTGAACTATTCAGTCCAAAGGGTTCCCAAGGTATATTTTTCAATGAGTAGAATATTTCTTCTATGTAGAATTCTAGGTAACTTGAAAATGAATTCAGTACACAACTCCAAGTTAATGTGCTCAACTACCAAGACGATTCTAAGTTACTCTCAGTCTACAACAGGTATTATCTTTGACTCTCAGATTTCAATGCTTAAAAACAATTAATAACCAATACTAAACTATGCTCAACACTGAGAACATTCACCCCAGCCATCTGAATATACCCAGATAAGGGAATAAGACAATACCTAGTTACTAGTTACCTGGTTACTACTTTTCACAGTTCTTTTTAAACAAACAAAATTAACCTTTTTATTACTGTATTACTCTAAATAGTTACCAAAAATAAAATCCAAATATTGTCATATTTAGATAAATTTTAAATAATTTCTGTATAGAAATGCAGTTCTCTTTTCCCTCCTTAAAGAACTCAAAGACAATGTAGGAAGATGGTACAGACACAGAATTATTTATCTGACTGATGTCAGAAAAATTTAAATGTTGTAGGTAAAATACTTAGAGTAGAAGTGACAGAGCTAGATTATTTAAAACATTCATCTGAAGATACATCCTTAGTTTCTAAAACAATATGCTCACCTTTAGATTCATATTCATATATGGTGGTATTTTGCTTAAATATTTTACAGCCAAGATGCAGAAATACTAACATAAAAAAATCCGATCTTTATGATAAAAATTACTTCATGTAATTTATATATGCTTTAAAGCCTTCTAACATAAGTGATACATTTTTTTTTCTCATAGTGGCAACTCAATTTTATTTTGAAATAAAATAATTTCTGAAAAAAGAAAATCTGCCAAGATTCCCTTCCTTCCTTTCAGTTTGAAAATCTTGTTAAATTTTCCTTTAAACTTTCCTTTCCCAAGGACCACACAATGAGCATATGTTTCAAGACAACTTTTTAGTATATGAGGAGTTATTTACCCATTTCTATCACCTGGATGTACTATTCAGAAGAACTTCTGCAAAGATTTAGTATGATCCAGAAACAGATTAACAGCAAAAAGTAAAGTATAATCTTTAATTCTGGGGAGGAAAAAGTTTTTAGATGCTGCAAATAACTCTTTTTCAAAATTATCTGTGTTATATTAAAATATTTATCTGTGTTAAGATATATTGGGATATTTAGCACTCTTGTGTTACTCTTAAGGAATATTTGTTCACGTTTATTTATATTACACTGACAAAATGGCAGTTCTGTAATTTAAGAAGACACTAAAGTTCAAATGTTGGGACAAATACAAAAATGCATTTTCAGCTTTGCTGGTTTAATCACCTGGTATCTTAGGTGTATACTTTCCTTTATGATAACAAATACCAGGCCATGGACTAATTTAACTTCAGTTATGTAATACCTGTAACACTCAAATGGGTTTGCAAATATAAACATCTCTGCTCTAGCATATTTTGGGGGGAGGATTACCCTTCAATATATAACAGATGCAAGTATGTGCAAGTGGGTGGTAGGAGGGAACTATTTTTATTATGGAAAGAGGGAAACTTACAAACTTTAGATCTTAGGCACAGTTTCACAGAAATTTTGGAATGATATTAAACAGTCTTACTTTCTCTTCTCTTTTTGTCTAACTGCTAGATACTAAGAGCCACTCAATTCAATAATCTTTAAGGCAACAAGAAAAGGGCCAAATCTCAAATCAGATGCGGTATTCTGACGCTGACTCCCTCTTGTCTAACACTACCATTTTCCACTGGTCAGTCAGTCCACAAAAGAGAATTTAAGCTAACTTAAAGATTCAGGGGAAAAAAAGGAGGGATTAAAATGTCAAATATGCTTCGTAAGAAATTATGCCTCATTGCATAAGTTAAACATGAGAATTTCCACCTCAGTAAATCTCTCATACAAAAATAACACTTAAAAAAAAATCTAAGTCATTATTTATATGTATTACTTAGCATATAAAAGGAAATAATATAAAAGTAGAGATTTAGTATGTTTCTTAAATCATATTTGCCAGAATGTCTGAAAGTAAAAACATCACCCGAAATCAGAAATGCTAAAATTTTAAATTTTACTACATAGGTTTCTCAGTAGCTCACCAAAACAAACACAACCCTTCCTCCCAAAAAATACACATACATAGGTCTATAAGCTGGAAAGCTGAAAAATGTTAACTTCAAGGAGTTCATTTTAATTATGAACCGTACTGGTACGGCATTTCTAGAAACAATGGTGATACTGAAACAAAATACCAATATCCATGACCAATATGTAAACCTATAATGAACCTGGCAAAATGCATATCTTGATGGCCAAGTAGAAATATTTCTTTTTACAAATGTTTTGAGGAACAACGCTTAAAATTATATTTGAAATATAATTTTAACAAAGTTTACATGAAAAAGGGAAATACCAAAGTTGGTAATAGTAAAAGTCTTTTGGTTTTCTCACAAACGGTATCCTTATAATTCCCCAACTTTCAGAGCATGATGCATTTTTCTAAGAAAAGTAAAATGACTGTAAATTGTGTTTCCTATACAGCTTTATATGTCAGAGTCACTTTCAGATCCTGGTCTGCTGTTATCTGGTCCATCACTTTCTCTGTCCCAGTCTTTCATGGATGCTCCCATCATGAAATCATCACGTAGGATCGTCCAGCCTGGGCCCTCTTCTGCTTCTTCAGTCTGAGGAAAATGACAGAACCAAAATAGTCAAAAGTCAATTTAATCATAAGGAAATAAAAAAGTCCTCTCTACAAAACAAACTTGTCAACACTTAGCTTTGTATAGGAGTGAAACCAAGACAAATTATAGATTGACTTTATTTATACACTATCATCATACATGCATAAATACGTAATAGTACATTAATAAATATTTTAACCCCATAAAAGAATCATGGAAGCAAAACAACATTATTTTTTTTTTTGCAGTGGGGGGAAAAATACAGTAAAATCTAGCTTTGGTATCAATTTTAAAATTCTTCAGACAATCAAAACAGAATATTATTTAATGTGCGGTGATAATGTATTACAAAACTTTTGGCAAATTATTTTAACATGGAAATGTAACAAAGGCTTTTAACCCAAAATAAATTAAAGGAGAGAAAAGGAAACTAACCTGGTACTATGCTAGGTTTTTACAGATGCTATCTCATTTAACATTTGATAAAAATTTGCACCACCTGTTCTTTATTTAGGTTATGATCTCACTGCCTGACGAAATCATGTAATTAAAAGACTAACCACATGCTAAAACTATAAATAACTGAAACAGGCAATAAACATAATAGGTAGTCAATTCATTTTGTTTATTCATAAGATTTATATAAAACTATATGAGAGCCTAAGAATTACCACGTCTTATTTCATGGCACAATAGTACCACCTTGTGGTATTAATTAAGTAATGCAATACATGCCGAACAACTCAAAGCTCTGAGATTTCTTTCCTTCATGCCACAAATATTTACTGAGAATAAAAACGAAGTATTGTTCTTAATTTTGGAAATACAGTGACGAACAAAACAAAGTCCCTGTCGTTGTGGACCTAACAGCCTATGCTTTTCTATTTATTCCATTCACAGAAATACACAATGTGGGAAAAAATCTCTCTAAGTACGCAAGAACCCATGATGTTTGAATTAGAAATTAGTGTTATCTTTATGGGGGGTATTAACCATATAAAAAGCAATTTTTAAGAGTAAGATATTAAAGACATTTGCTGGGTTACAAGAGATTACTTATTTAACTCTGGTGAAGCTATCTTTTATTTAAAAAAATATAGCCCTGAAAGAGTCATTCCATTAAAAAAAAATAGGATACTATTATGAACAGGAAAAATGTCCTACACTGGCTTACTCCTGTCTTCCTGGGATCAAAGAATGAAGCAGGGCTTGTGCCTAAATATAACTCAAAGACTGGACAGCATATAAATGTGAGCAAAGATTTCAGAATTGACTTAGTAAGTCAAACAGCACACTTTGTACTACAATTAACCAATATAAAGAAACAAATAAAAAACACCTGTGCTGGTTAAAAACCAACAGTAAAACAGTTCCAGTGCTTCTCATGCCACACTGGCAGGAGAGCAATCAAGTAGGAAGGTAATTTGTAATTCTCCTCATGGAATATGCTAACACGTCTCCACTCCTCATTTCAACAATATCAAACCTACATTCCTAAAACTATTTCTGCTTCTATTAGATTAAGTTACCTAAAAGTTACCTGGATAAGAGGCCATTTTGCCTGATTCAACCCAAGTTTTCTTTTGCCAATCTCTTGACCTTAAATAAGAAAAAGAGCTGTCCCCAGTGAATGGAGACCCACTTAGAACCAACAATTATAACACCTCTCCTGCCAAATTAATCATTCAAAGCTTTCAATTAAATTGTAAAAAGTGTATGCTTCCTGGTATAGTTATATGCAAATTACTGGCTAGTAAAGACTTGCCCTGACATTAATGTTTGTGCTTACATAAGAAAACGCACAATCTCAACGGTAAGCCTCCATGTTTAGATAACTACACCCAACATTCTGTCACAACACGTTACCAATCCAGAGCAGGAAGATCCCACATGACTGAGCTCAGGGGAGTGTTTCTACATAAAAGCTCACCCTGACAGCCAACTTCCGCTGGACTCTGAGTTACTCCTCTACTAGGTAGCGTAGGAACCAGAAGGAAGGAGGGAGCGAAGAACAGGGACAAAACCTTAAACAGGTAGTTCAGAAAGGAAGAAAAGAACAATAGTGGACCAAAGGAAAGGATTAAAATGTTGAGACTAATTGTCTTGCATGCTTGTCTTCAAAGACAATTATGTAAACATACATTTTAGGCAAAAAGAGCAATAGCAGAATAAACTCAAAGCTCTTCTTGATTGTCCAATTTGAAGAATAACAATGAAGTAAAGCTTTATTGGGGGATGTTGATGGTGGGGTTTTTGTTTTTTAAGCAATCAATATAGCCTATGTCAGTGATTCTCAAAGTGTGGCCCCCAGACTAGCAGCATTAGCATCAGCATCATCTGTTGGAAATTCAAAATCTTGGGCCCCATTCCAGACCTACTGAATCAGAAACTCTGGGGGTAGACCCCAGAAATCTGTTTTTGTTTTGTTTTGTTTTGTTTTGGTGAGGAAGATCAGCCCTGAGCTAACATCTGTTGCCAATCTTCCTCTTTTTGCTTGAGGAAGACTGTCCCTGAGCCAACATCTGTGCCAATCTTCCCCTATTTTGTCTGTAGGAGGCCGCTGCAGCATGGCTTGATGAGCGGTGCATAGGTCCGCACCCGGGAGCCAAACCCGCAAATCCCGGGCCACTGATGCAGAGCACGGGCACTTAACCACTACGCCACTGGGCTGGCCCCCCCAGAAATCTGTTTTAATAAGCCATCCAGTGCTTCTATGCTTGCTAAAGCCTGAGACCCACTAAAGGACGAATATTTTTTAGTGACAGTTTTCATTCACTGCTTTAAGACCAAGTACACTTTATGGCGGAGAAAGAAAGGATTTCAGACTCTGGAAATCCAATGTTAGCCACAGCACTGGATGCCTTACAGGCTGCCAACATTCAAGCTAACATTACAGTGGCATTTTTAGACTGTGAAGCAACAATATGAAGAAAAGACAGACAAGAGAAAATTTAATACAACAAGTATGAGTTAACATATTTTAACAACAGGTATTTTCTATAACATCTGTCAAGATGGCAGCTCAAGAAAGAAAACTTTGTTTTAAAGGCAACAGAATGACCCTTTAATTTCTAACGCCTACACCCACTGAAGAAATATGTAGCAAGAAAAAAAGGGAGAGGGTCCATGTTAAGGTGGCAGTTTGAATGTAAACAACTAGTCTTGCTCAACTGCAAAACTCAACAAAACAAGAGAAAAGTGATGTGTTGTTTTCAAGATATAATCCACAAGGACAGGCTCCAAAGAGACAACGGCAACATAATTTTAGAAGGTAGAAGCAGATGGACTAGAGGAAACTTTCTTGGGCAAACCCAAGAAAGTTGAATCCTAAGACTGCAATTGTTAAGCTGACAACCAACCCAATTTACACTGCAGAATCTTCAAAAGCAAAACAAAACACACACAAACTAAAAAACTAGGAACTGGCAGGATGAGGTACTTCTAGAAGTGAGGGTGGGAATAGAGGGACCAAAATAAAGAGAATTGGGTGACAGTTACGTTGAGAAACAATTATATCTCTAGACCCTCTCCCCATTCCACACAACCTTCGCAGAAGGCTGGAGATTTAACCTCTGGAGAGGGAATGGGCTAACACAGATGAAGGCATAGGTATGATACCAAAAACAGAGGATTATGTTACACTCCCTCCCCTCCAATAATGAGTCCTAGCCCTTTTCTCACATCGGGCTCTCAAATGCTGGTAGGCAGACCTTTTTCTTCCAGGCACGAGATTAGGAATACTCTATAGAAAATCTGACCAGTCGCCAATAAATAACCCACTGAGAGAATGCTACAATAAAGCTTACATGTCATGTGGACGACATCCATATACTCAGAGCTTCCAAATACCTATTTAGGATTATTCGTTCTAAGGAACAGACAACTAAGGGCTATCAGAAAGATGACAGAGAATAACATAAACACAAAAACTTAAAAAGCAACGTCGGGACCGGCCTGGTGGCATAGTGGTTAAGTTTGCATGCTCCACTTTGGCAGCCCAGGGTTCATAGGTTTGGATCTAGGGCACGGACCTACACACACCACTCATCAAGCCATGCTGTGGCGGTGTCCCATATACAAAATAGAGGAAGACTTGCACAGATGTTAGCTCAGGAACAATCTTCCTCAAGCAAAAAGAAGACTGGCAACAGATGTTAGCTCAGGGATAATCTTCCTCATCTAAAAAAGAAAAAAGCAAAAAAAAGCAACTTATAGGAAAAAGAAATTATTCAAAGAGAAGAAAATTTAGTGGAAAATACCATTAATATCCTTGAAGAGTTAGGAGATTATACTCTCCACAAAACGAGAACAGTTGCCATTTGAAAAGAAACATTAAGAGAATGACAAAGAGCTCAAAATTAAAAACATGATGGCAGAAATAAAAAATCAATACAAGTGTGAGAAGATAAAGCTGAGGAAATCACCCAGAAAATAGAATAAAAAGAAAAAAGTAATGGGAAACAGAAGAAAAAGTAAGATAACTGGAAGACCAGTCCAGGAGGTTCTATATACAAATAACAGTTCTACAGAGAAGTGCAAAAATGGAGGGGAGGAGAATCAATGAAATACTGCAAGAAAATTTCCCGAAAGTGAAGGACACACACTTCCAGATTGAAAAGAGCCCTCTTCAATGTCCAAAATATAAAAGAAAAATAGAGCCACATCAAGGACATCATGTAAAATTACAGAACAATGCGAACTAAAAGAATATCCTATAAGCTTCCAGAAAGAAAACTAATAAGTTACATACATACAGATGATCAGGAATCAGAATAGATCCAGATTTTCCTATAGCAACCCTGGAAGCAAGAAAGCAATAGACAAATGCTTTCAAAATGCAAAGGAAAAGAATTTCCAATTTAAAATTCAATACCCAGACACATTGTCATACAAGCGTGAGGATTTAGAATAGAGGCCCTTTCAGACATATGAGGTATACAAAAGTTTACCTCCAATAAAGCCTTTTTAAGGAAACGACTGAGAATGTCCTCCACAAAAAG